GCGGGCTGTTTGGCCATCGCGTCTTCATGAATTTTCTATCTCGTTATGAGCCTTTTTTGTAGCATGTGTTCCTTTTTGCTTGATTTCAGCTAAGAACCGTTACCAGATTGAAATCCCTGACTCCGTCCGTAAGATTCCCGACGAATACACTCTACAGTCGCAGAAGAAAGGATTTAAACGATACTGGACAGCAGCCATTGAAGAGAAGCTGGCGGGGTTGGTGGAAGCCGAGGAGAGACGAGAAGAAGCTCTGAAAGACACTATGAGACTTGTGTTTCACAAATTTGATCAAGAGTGAGTACACATACCGTTATTAAACCCAGCTTTGCTTTTCCTCGTAGTTGGAATGCTCGTCCATCTCGTTCCGTCAAGAAGAAACAAGGGGGGATTTTTGCCGGGAAAACTTTGAAACTGGTAGAAAGCGCGGGAAAACGTGTGGACGGCGTCGGATACCGATCAAAGCGCGGAAAAATAGAAATATTGGAAACCGTTTGAACGCTTCTGTAGTTAAGTTGTATATTTTGGTCTTTAACGAGCTAATTTTATTTCTGGATTTTTCCATTTAGGTATAAGACGTGGGATAAAACGGTTCAGTGTCTGGCTGTGTTGGACTCACTGATGAGTCTCGCATCATGCAGGTATAAAAGTGCATTTTCTGTTAGCTCTGTTTATCTGTCTAGCGAAGTTCCAAAAAGAAGCAATTTAATTGTAAATTTTCCAGTTCGCAGGCTGACGGTTCGATGTGTAGACCTGAAATCGTTCTTCCCGAGCAGACTGCTGATGAAGAATTTCAGGTAGGGCCTCCTTAAAATTACTTGCGCTAATTAAGATCAATGTAGAAACATTTATTGAAGCAATTGTTACTCTGCTGGTAATTTTGGGATGAAGGCCTGTCGTTCCTCTCGTTAAGTGAAAAATTGAAACATGGGTGTGTCAGTGAAATCTCCCGTAATCGTATTGGTTTGAGATTCAATGGAATTAAAAGAACACAGGAGGTAAGTTTTTAAAAAACTGCGGTGCTGCGTCAGTAGGGAGTACAACAAGAAATAGTAAGCAATAAGTGGTGAGGTTGCGCATTATATCATAAATTATCAATGCCAATGTCTAATTTATGGTGGCTTTTCGTCCGCTTCCGTCTCCAAGTGAAATGAAAGTTTGGAGTTTTGGTTTTGGAGAGGATGGAGAATTCGGGTTCGTAAAGTTCTGTAGCGTGTGAGCTGGCCCTCATTATTAGCATTGCGACACGAGCATTTCTCTTCTCGCGAGAAGGTTTGAGGCCTTAAAAAGGCGTGCCGGTGAAGAGTCTGCGAGGGGTGAGGCATTTTCGTGCTTGAGCCCTCGCGCGCTCAGATCACCCACCAACTCGAAACGCGCCGGCTTCGGCGCTCGTATTCAGTGCAGCACCATTTTGAGCCTACTCTTAAGTTTAACTCTTTTTCAACAGCCTTTCTTGGAAATCAGAGAAGGACGGCACCCATGCATTTCACGCACATTCAGTGGCGGCGATTTTATCCCAAATGACACAGTGGTCGGAATGCAAGATGTAAGTATCGAGAAAATGTCGTTTGTTTGTTTATTTGTTTTTCCTCTTCTACTTCTTTTCTGTGACACATCCTATATTCTTTATCCCAGCTTGACGAAGAAGACAAAAATATTTAGTTCAACGAATACCCAGTATGTCAAGTAGTTCCTATTGTTATCCAACTGTGCTTCGTCGAGTACAAATAACGCGCGAGACGAGTACAAATATCACGCGATATTTGTACTCCAGAAATATCCACGAAATTCGTCCGCACTGAAACGACAATTACGCTTGTTGGATAATAAATCTCCTATTAAACGTTTTGTTATGTTGTATCGCTGAGTTTTTTTACTTGTTGTTTGTATTTTGACTCGCCCGATGGGTTCGTCAAAATACGGCGCAACACGTAAAAATACTCAGCGATACTACACAACCCAAAAACATCTAATAAGATATATTTATCTTCTCTTCTCTCAAGGAGAATGACGGCGAGGAGAGAGCAGTCAACAGCCAAAGCACATGCGTGTTGGTTACTGGGCCTAATATGGGCGGCAAGTCAACGCTGATGAGACAAGCTGGACTGATCGTTATCATGGCTCAGATGGTGATTATTTGATTCATTCTTGGTGTCGAGCACAAAAACAGTTGTCAAAATAAAAAGAGACTTTAAAATACTTGTATTCTAGGGTAGAAAAACACCAATCAGGCTGTAATAAACTGAGAAAGGACAAGGAAAAAAGAGATTGACACGGGTTGGTTAAGGCGAGGTTAAAAAACTTGGGGAAATTTTCAAGTTGAACAAAGCTGGGCGATAGCATCTTTAAATTTACCCACAGGCTAAGTAATACGGGTGACATTTTGTTTCAGTGGTCTTTTGCGGGCTGAGTAGCATATTATGGGCATATATAAAATTGCGAATACATGTTACGCTAAGGGGAGTTGGTTTTAATTTGCGTCCCAAAGTCTTCGAGGACTCAAGTGAAGCATTCAAGTGGAAGAATGATCGTCACAGGCGAGCTGCAATTTAAGCTACTGCAGAAAAGAAGCCTGAAAAAATTCAGGCTTCGACGGAGATTCGAATCCTTTCATTCCAGATACTGCGCTTCTACTAATTGAGCTATGTAAGTCATATGTTTCAATTTATTCCATTGAAACTCCAAATATGTGTTAAGGATACAAACTTTTGCTCTCCTTTCTGATAATTATTTACACTTCGTAGGGCTGTTACGTTCCGGCTGAGAATTGCCGCCTCACTCCTGTGGATCGTGTGTTTACGCGGCTTGGAGCTCACGACAGAATCTTATCGGGTATAAAGAACCTTTTATTTTATTATTTTAGCTCTTGTTTGATACGGTTTCTAGGCACGTTTAGAAGGGCGCGAGGCAAGTTGTAAGAGGCAGTTCGTATTGGAGTCCAGATTGGTAATTCTGTGCTCGGGCACCCAGCCGCTATACTGTCGCACGGCTCTTTTACTCAAATAGGTTGTGCGAATTAATTTATAAAAACTTGATGAATTGCTGTGAGAGTATGGAAACAGAAACAAGTATCCTTCATGTATCAGCATCTCCGCGAACCATCAAGATGACGCTAAACCTGCGATCTGATTGGTTACTCGAGCCCGTCTTGCCCGCTCCAGCTCCAGATCGTCCACTTCCTTTTCCCTTCCCCAAAAAGAGGAGGGAAAAAGAAAAAAAACGCTTGAATTTAGTGTTAAGTCGACCGAGCAAACGCACAGTTCGAACTTAGAATTCTTCGTCACGTCAGTACAAACGCAACAGAGAAAGTTGCCAACATCGAGGCGTATTGACCGAACAATCTTAGCCAAAAACGCAGAAACTATTGTTGAGACCTACTGTTAGGAACGAGTCTATGTTATGAAAACTGGGCCAACATCCCTTTCACACCAGTGAAACATGTTTTGTTAAACTGGTTTAACTCAACGAAAATCAGAGACAGATATTGAGTAATTGTCGCTTTGTCTGTATCGATTTCTAAACTGATTCACTTTTGACTAACGTTTTTAGTGATCCTCTTTAGGAAAACTTTTATTTATTTCCCTCTTCCCTTTTCAGGTGAGAGTACTTTCTTTGTCGAACTGAGCGAGACTTCAACCATTCTCCGACATGCTACACGACACTCCCTCGTTCTGGTGGATGAACTTGGTCGTGGCACTGCGACATACGACGGTACAGCCATCGCTTGTGCAGTCGTCGGTGAGCTTTCAGGTCACATTAAATGCAGGACACTGTTCTCTACACACTATCATTCATTGGTCGAGGAGTTCTCCGCTGACCCGAATGTTCGGCTTGGTCATATGGTGAGTAATTTAAAATGCTTCCCTTTCCTCCCCTTCCACCGTGAAAAGTTCATCTATCAGGCTGCTACTTTGCTTGCTCTATTTCTCTCCCTCCCTCCCTCCCCTTGTCTTTCGCTGCTAAAATGGCAGTTGCCCTCCCATACTATTTAGAGAGTGTTTCAGTTTTATGTTGTCAGCGAGTTACAGTTTTACGTAATCAGCGAGTTTCAGAGAGCGCCTCGCGGTCTTGTGTCTTCAAACTAAAAAAAACAAACAAAAAAAACTGGCTTAATGGGACGGACCAATCAGAGAAAAGGAACATATCTCCGGGGAACCAATGATTCATGCTACCAAATAATACATGTTGCACTGAGTTTTCTCACGTATCTGATTGGTTGAGATGGGGTGTGAATTTTTTTACCAATCACAGCGCGGTAACGGAAAACCAACGCAATACCAGATTATTTAAAGACTTTCAATTAACAATTGCTCAAGTCAATTTTTCTTTTTTTGAGGCCTGCATGGTTGAAAATGAAGATGAGACTGATCCAAGTAAAGAGACAATAACATTCCTGTACAAATTCGTGAAAGGCGCCTGTCCGAAGAGTTACGGATTTAACGCAGCAAGGCTAGCTGGGATACCAGATGAGGTAAATCTTACATCAGTGCATCTAAGTTGTCTCCGATTCCAGCGAAATCCAAGCTGGTATACAGATGTTCTCTTACTTTGTTGGTCAATCCAGCTTTAACATTTAGGTTTGCCAAAAGGTATGACCATTCAATTTGTACCGGGTGCTTTTAACTTTTCAGTCTGTGGATAAAATTCCAGTTTGTAACCTTTTTAATAAAAGCTACCGAGCTTACATCTCATGAGGAACTGTGCATTTACTGTACAAGATGATTCTAACCTTTAAAACTGTCTTTGCCCGTTGATTCTAAAACTACATGCAGTAGTTACCCACGTGTTATTTTCTAACGCTTGCTTAAAAATTGTAAGTTTATTTCTCTTCTTCTAGGTAATTTCTGTGGCTGTAAATAAAGCGCGACAATTTGAGGAGACTGTAGATCGCGTCAAATTTTTCAGGTAAGGGAAACGTCAGATCAGTCAAACAAACTCTTTTTATCTGCAAAGCCCGCCTTCAATTTTAATTTTTTTTTTTTTTTTTACTTTATTACATTGTTAGGTCGCTGCTTAATTGCAAGAAAGAAGATATAAAACAGCTACAGAAGCAAATAATGGGTTATTAGTATTAAAAGCGGGAAAATGAGAATGTTACTACTTTAATTGTTTTCAATTAGATGCAGAAGTTCTAATTGTTCATGTTTTAGAGTCAATAAAGATTTCATTTATGTCTTGAGCGCGTCTTGTCTCTTGAAGTGTGTTGTTTACTTCCACGAGTTCTTTCTTTTGGAATTTGTTTGCTTCGCTAATATTGTTCATAAAGTAATCCGGGACTTAGTTTGTTTTGGTCAGTCGTGCTCTATGATTGGTCAAGAAAACTTGCGCCATACTTTCAACCAACCAGATGCGAAAACTAAAAATTAATCAAGGTTTTCCCGCTTTGTAGGAAGTTTGTTTGTGTGTACTTTATTCTCATTGGCTTCTTAAGATAATTCCTTTGATATTATTAGTTGTTATGATTAGGCACTCAAACGACGTGCGCAGCAAACATTAATTACAAAAAAGGTGCTGAATCTTATTACAAATTATTTTCCTTTCACGAGGCTCATTTTTGCGACCTGTGCAGCTCACAGATATATCACTGTTACTTTCCTGGACGGATTTACACTATGACTGAAAGGTTTCATCCTAAATGATTGCTCCCCGAACATTCCACAGAACACCATTTTGAATCCTGTTTGAAACTCAGGAACACATATATAGTATATGACTGGCGTCAATGCGGCACTAAGAAAGGTGAATGCGACGCACATCCGAAACACTGCGAAGAACCAGCCAAGTTTAGTACAATTCGAGCAGTAAACCTCGTACAGTGCCAAACTGCAATATGGCAATAGAGAAATGACAAAAAGGAGTACCACAATTATAAATGGGCTTGACAGTGCTATTTGTTTTTTGAGTCTTCTACAACTTGGTTTTTTTCTCGTGGAACTATCACAGGGGTCTTGTTCTGTGTAGAGGCCATTGAGTTTCCTCAACGCTTTGTAAAGCAGTGCCGTTAGTGTAATTGTGGCTGCGAGAGGAGACACCACGTTGAGATGGATGTCTAACGCTTGTATCCACCGTGGAGTGGCAGCTATCTCGAAAATTGAAAAACCCAAAGAGTAGACAACAATGCATGTCAAACATATCAAAGTACTTTTCACTTTATCTGCACGAGGATGGAAAATTGGACGAGAAGTGTTTCCCAATCGCTCCACCGAAAATGCAAGCATGAGATAGTTTTCAGTGCGTATTAACAATGTCAAGGATATTCTTGAAAAAACACTGTCAAAGTAAGCGGTACCTTCGATGTCCCGTGCGCATGCTATGTGGCTTTCTGCTGCCGCTGTACCGCCTACGATTCCAAACAGCAGATGCAGAATAGCAAGGCTTGTGACCAAAAGTGAATTCGTTGACCTGACTGAGTTAGTGGGGTCTTTGTACAACACAACCAATAGACAACTATTCAATACCACTGCCAGAAGAGAAAATAACATCACCAATACTGCGCCTGGAATGCACACAGTTGACCGGAAGTCGTTGTCCATGTTATCCAGTCCCGCTTCCGGTAGGCCGGCTCGTTTCCTGCGGTGGAGAGATTTTAATAGGTCAGCACAACGTGCAAAATTTTGTACTCCATAGAGCTAGGCATGTAATATTTTTTCCCACTGATATCCGATGAGAAGCATTTTTAAATGCTAAAATGTAATGATTGGCGAGAATGGTGCTGTCTGACGTTCTCTTATTTTGGTGAATTTTCATACATAAATTGTTCCTAACTTTTTCTTGCTCGAATTTATTCTCGTGCGTAAAGATCGCGGATATCTTGAGGGACTGGCGCGAGTTCCTGAACCAATCACAGAGCGAAGTTTAATTGAAAATCGCTCTAATGCGGAATAGATAGAAGAGACTTAAAGGACATAATGATAATTAAAGATAGCAGGAATAGCCTCATTTACTTTTTTCAAACAAATACGCCCAGAAATTTTCATTGGATTTGCGACTGCCATTTTTGTTTAAAAAACGCCCTACTTTGCGTAATTTCGGGGAAAAGATCACGCGTGGCATGCATTTATTTGGATCCAGTCTCCCCCGGCATGAAAAAAAAGCTCCAAGCCTCCATTATTTTCAGGAAAGGTAAATGACACTTTCCCGGCAGCCCCTTTTAAGTTACTATATATCTTACATATTTTGGGTGCATTTAATCAGGAAATTGTAGGAAACTTGTAGAACTTTCTAATTCATTAAATACCGGAATCAAACATACCCAGTTCCGCAGTGAGCATTAAGTAAATTACTTTACTCCGGGAACACAACGCGTTTCAAGGAAATTTGATTATCCGAAAGACTTAGTACTAAAACAAAACAAAACTGCCTCTCTTAACTACATTCCTGACGAAAAAAAAAAATCGTTTCGTTATAACTTTTCATGCATCATTTTCCTACTACAAAACTATAATCACACATAATCAAACTGACTTTTAATTTGGTTCTAAAGTCCGATTCTGATCAGATTTGGTAATTACTACCAAGTAAATGTATTAAAACAAACAACACCAGGAAACAAATTTGTTTCAAAAATCGGGTGAGATTTCTTACTCTTGTAATACGTCCACTTTTCGGTTGTGTTGATTTTTCTCGGTACACAATGTTTTTACGGTCGTCTGGTCATTATATGGAAGGTAATTTTTCATAGAATAGCCATAAGATACGAGATTAATTGTTTGGTGAAACGAGACAGTAAAAAAATTAACAATATGTTGTGGATACGAGATCAATTATTAAGTAATTGCCAGGTTGTAGTATGCCACTTTCTGCGTCTTAGGCATTTCAAATTATGAAAAATTTAAAAACAAAAAACCATAATTCCACAAGTGAGACGAGTAAAAAGGCAAAGGATATCAGTAAAAATTTTAAATTTGAGAAAGTATCTTTAAATTTTTTTAAGTGAGACTGAAGAAATTATGGTACAGGAAAAAATACAACAAAATAGTTTTTATCTTCTTTGAAGGATCGCCATATTTCGTGTTTCTTTCCTTCGTTTTTATTGGAAATTTGCCGTAAATTTTCTACTTTAAATTTTCCATAATCCGTCTGATTCTATTTTAATGTTTGTCTATTTTGTCAATCAGTGAAAGCCAGCTCTCTTTCGTACCAAAAATTGACTTAACATCGATGTTCTTCGCAGTTTTTTCACAAGGTAACCAAGAAGAATTGTTTAAATTCACAAAAGGCAAACTATCTTAAGTCCACCGCTGTAAGAAAAAATTCCCAGCTCTCTTGAAACTATGACAATTTCGCTTTATCATACAAAACACATCGGTTTTCTTTTTCCTGGGAAAATGGCTCAGTGTCCGAGGACATTACCAAAATATTTTAATTATGTCTTCTTCGGGAAATTTTCGACCTAATTTTCAAGGATACAGCTGCGCATTTTCTGCGATTTCACCCTTGGCTACTGGCAGCGAATTCAAGCACAGTTTCAACACATATAGTTTTCATCCGCCAACACTAAGAAAAAAACCGACAAAAGACTTTTACGATAAAAGGTAAAAACAACTGAAACTTACCTTGAATTAGTCTGCGACAATTATAAAACAGCGAGTTGAAGTTCAAAGAGACTGTTGAAGCATAGATAATTTTTGCATCTAGTTTCAGAATCCAGTTACTTGCAAAGTGGCTCGTAACGCCATAAGACCTGTAAACATTTCAACTATGGTTAACCAACCGCATAGATTAAAACATAAAACGCAGAAAGTAATGTTTTCGGTCGCAAAGCCCAACTGAGCAAAAACGACAAACAATGAATGATGAAATTAGTACTGCGCAATATTTATGTAAATCAAACGAGCACCATCTCCTTAAAAAAGAAACGTTTACCTCAGGCGAAAAGTAAACAAAACTAAGCACTAAATAAATGGAGGACATTAATATTTCAACAAATTTAACATGGTAAAGTCTTGAATTAGCCTGGCCGTCAATTCGACATTACTTACATAAACTTACAGAAAAACCTTCCATGAATCGAATTATGAAGTTACTATTTAGAGAAAGGGAACCGTGTAGAATTTGCCAGTTCGTAGTAGCGCCCAGCGTCGAAGTCTGAATTTTTTGGAGCTTCTTTTCTGCTATCTGATATCAAAATTACAGTGTTTTCTTGATTCACTCACCTCTTTCGTTGATCTCTGAAACGCATTCAAAAATGAATGCAAAAACGGTGAGTGTTTGCTTTTGAACCGGAATAAATGCTACAAAAACAGCTTTTCTGGAACACCTTGAACAATGGTGTGCGTACAGGCTTTTTTTTTTCTTTCCGCTCCTCCCTTCGTACGTCTTGCACTTCGCGCTCACCTCACGCCGGCCTCTGTTTGACTGAATTAAATGACGTCTGTTCTGCAGGGCGCCACACAACCACCTTGGCCTTTCGTTAGTAATTTGTACTTCAATCACGTTTACCTGCAACACTTGGCGACCACGTGCAGTTCAATAAGATAAACCGTCCGTGATAACGCGAACAGAAAGGTAAACAAAACTGAGCAATTTCCTGGTATAGACGGTCTTTTTTGACGTAATTCAGAGGGCGTTAAAATTTTCCAGTTTTTTCAGTCATTATTTCAAAAATCTGATGTTACCTTTGTCCGCAGAAAGGAAAAACGTTCGGCTGCTTGCCATAAGCAATGAGAGACTTCAAAAACTCCTTTTAAATCTTTTATTAACCGCAACGACAGAAAACTACGCAAAAACAAATTGATATGATTTACAAAGGTAATACCACAGAAACTGCGCCTGCGTTTTTTCCACCAAGAACGGTCAGTGTCGTCGCTGAGCAACCACAACCTCAATAATGTCACAACAATCTGTCACAACTAATTGTCCGAAAGATGTCAGGTTTCGAGTGATTCGAAGATTCAAGTCGAAAACTGTCCGAGCGAATAACGACGGCACACCATGGCCTTAATAATTCCACTTGTCATCTAACTTGGCTGTTCTTCTTTAAGTCTTTAGTAAATTTTAGAACAGAGAGTCTCTCTCTTCCAGCTTTTCTTTTCAATAAAAGTTCACTGCCTAACCCTTGGGACTCCAACATACATATAATGTCGTCTAAAGAAAGTTGAGACAAAAGTAGCACAGATTAATTTTAAGCAAATCTCAAGGAACTAGTTACGGTGAAAATATTTTCCTCCACCAAATAAAACCTTATTTATTTGCGATAATTAGACTAGCTCTCTCAGTTCAGCTGGTTTGAATGGGGACCTGTTTTCAAGAGCAGGACCAGACCACAACACTGGAGGCTACGTTCCCTACTCTTTGCAAGAAGTGCAGAGGTTCTTTAAAATCCCCTGTTAACCAGTACAGAGAAGATAAGGAGATGGGGCCTACGGTTAATCGTCCTTATCCGAGAAGACTACAATGTCTAACCATTTGTAGGTGTCATAGCAAAGGCAGCACATTCTCTTCACCATATGTTAAAGCGCGGGAAAACACGGGTGACCACATCGCGATTGGTTTCAGTTTGGTTCTTGATTGGGCGAAAAGGTGGCGTGAGTTTTCTGGACCAATCACAGAGCAAGAATAGCGAAATTAATTGAAAATTGCTCTACTGGTACGATTCGTGTCATCAAAAAACGAGTAGATGTTTAAAATTGATTATCTGTTGCACTCCTACCTGGTTTGTTTTCTGCCACAGATACGAGATAAAAACATCCTGTGTTGGACAGAAGCGTGGATACAAATGGGAAAAGACGATCCATTACCTGGCACGAATTGATACAAAAACAGAAGATACATATATCTTATTACACGACTCGGGCAGTCAGAGGGCCAATAACTAAAATCAACCAATCAAAATGCTCTATTGCCGGTCCAATATTCTCTAAGTATTGGACCAGGCACTATCCCGAATGGTCCCGAATGATACCGCACTTGTGTCCCTTTGAACTTCAGTCGTATAATAAATCTCTTATTAACCAAGCTTGCTCGGGACCGTACTGGAAGAATATCGGCCCTCGGTCTTTTTTGTACGGACCTCGCTGCGCTCGGTCCGTACTGTCAAGACCTCGGGCCGATATTCTCCCAGTACGGCCCTCGCGCTTGGTTAATAAGATATATGTAC